TGTCTCTGTTTCTTTCTGGTCTATGTTACTTTTAGGCTCTCTCTTTGCTTAGAGGACCCCTTTCAGTATTTCTTGTAGGGCTGGTTTCGTGTTTGCAAATTCCTTTAGTTTTTGTTTGTCCTGGAAGCTTTTTATCTCTCCTTCTATTTTCAGTGACAGCCTAGCTGGATGTAGTATTCTTGGCTGCATATTTTTCTTGTTTAGTGCTCTGGATATATCATGCGAGTCCTTTCCGGCCTGCCAGGTCTCTCTGGATAGGTCTGCTGCCATATATCCCAATTTTTTATCAGAGTCACACTGCAAGAGGTTGCCCCAGTTAATCTGTCAGAAATGGGGGTACATATGCTGAGCTTAGTTCAGAGAAGGAAACAGTACATCTGTAGGGGGATAATTCAGTGTTGGTATTGCATGCTCGGTGTTAATGATAAAATATGTATCTTTAAAGTTGATTTAAAAAAAATAGCTGTGCTGTCATTTTCAAAGTGCATAATTTTGTTTCTGATAGCTACAACACAAGATAATCTTGATGATAAGTTAAGGAAGTTTGAAATACGTGACATGATGGGACTGACAGATGACAGAGATATATCAGAAACAGTGAGTGAGACCTGGAGTACAGATGTCTTGGGAAGTGATTTCGACCCTAACATTGATGAAGATCGCTTACAAGAAATTGCAGGTAACTGCTGTTTAATTTCTCTGGAAGATTGCTGTTTAGTTATTCATATCTACCTACCCTTCATGGGCAGGGACTTCAGCCTCAGACAGACAGACAGACCTAGGAAGCTGAGATAACTATGTAAGAAGGCACTTGTGTCTTTTTTTCTTTGCCGAAATATAGGTAGCGTTTTTCCCTGTCTGCGTTTAACTCCCCCTCCCCTGCCAAAAAAGAAAAACCAGTCTTCTGAATTAGCTTCTTGTTTTCAGGGCATAGTATATATTCTGAGGGTATTCTTTTTGAGACTACACACCTTACCTGAAAATGAAAATTCTTATAGATTATAGCCATAAAATCTTTCAGAATAATATAATACTGAGATTCTCTAAAAATTGAATTTAATAGGGTGCCTGGCTGGCTCACTCGGTAGAGTATGTGACTCTTGATCTCAGGGTTGTGAGTTGAAGCCCCACTTTGGGTGTAGAGCTTACTTAAGGGAAAAAAAAAGGCATTTCTTCTGGAAGGATTAATTCATTTCCAAAGAGTGACTAGTTTTTTTTTTTTTTAAATACAAGTTTACTGAGGTACTATTTACATACTTTAAAATTCACCCTCTTTAGGATACTGTTATGTGAGTTCTGAAAGATTTCATACAGTCCTATAAGCAGCATCTTCATTTTCTCTTTAAATCCTGGAACGTTTCAGGCAAATACAAGAGGGAAGAATGTACTCTGTGTACCAGTCACTCAGCTTCAACTATTCCACACGCACACGTGGCCAGTTTTGTCTCATCTCTTCTCCCACTACCCCTTCTACCCTGTCCCCCTGTTATGTGTAGGCAAGTTCCAGATGTTATTTTATTTGTCGTCATTTTATGATATATCTTTAAAAGGTAACTTTCACCAGTAACCTTTTGCCAAAAGTTTTTTATGCACTGCAGTAGAACTGTTCTTTTGTTAGGCGTTATCAGGCGTCACGGAGCATCCTGAACTTGAGTATTTCTAACACGTGTATGATAATGTTTAATCCTTTCTATTTGTATTTTTAAGTAGTGTAAACAGATTTCTTAATTGGTTTTGCATTACTTTGTTTCAGGGGCCAAAGTAGTATTTTTCCTGGCAGAAAGCTCTGTTTGAGCAATGAGCTGTATTTGCAGTTGAATGCGTGCTACAGAGATGTGTATTTTCCTGCAAATATATTTTATTGCTCTGAATATGTGGCTAATGTGCCAGAAGAAAACATATTTGGCCAGTATAACTTTCTGTGATTTAGTGTCTCCATTTGAGTGTTTTTAATCCCTGTGAGGACTATACATTTTAGGTATTTTGGGACACATGTAAAAATGTGCTACAAAACCAAGATGAAAGCTAGTTGAAATGACTTGACCTAATGATGGATGTTTTCTCTATGGAGAGTCCAAGGTGAACAGGAGGAAACTGAGAAAAAGGAGCTTGTGCCATTGTGACCAAAGTCGGAAATTTTGTTTTTAGTGGTGCTGTTGATTGAAATTACACTTACCTTGGCTTCCTTCTTGCGGATAGAGTAGAGATGACAGTTAGTTTAGTGTTTGGCCCTTCTCCATTATCACTGCTCTTTTCATCAGGATCTTCGTTAACCCTTTGCTCCCCACTGGTTATACAGGTGCAGCAGCAGAGAACATGTTAGGCAGTTTACTGTGCCTGCCAGGTTCAGGGTCAGTGCTTCTTGACCCCTGCACTGGTTCTACCATATCAGAGACAACAAGCGAAGCTTGGAGTGTAGAGGTATTGCCAAGTGACTCAGGTTAGTATGCTGTCATTGTTTGCTTTTTGATTTGCACAGAAGTTTTAAATGTAAGGTATCTTAATTCCTGTACTGTGTACATTTTGTCAAGTGTGACACAACCATATTACTAAGAATTTCAGATGGACAGTTAGGGCATTTTCTGTCCATCAAGAAAAAATGCATTTGGATGGCATAGGCTAAGATGGCAGGTGCTTTTTGACTCTGTGTTCAGTTATTTGTAAGTATTTGTTAGCAACTCACCAGAGTTCTGTGTGTGACACTGAGTTTGGTATCTCCCACTAACTCATCACAAAACAGGAATAGCAGTACAGCTTGAACCCTGAGCAGTTGGATGCGTGGCAAGCATGCCCAGATTCATCCCAGGGAGAACTTGACCCTTTAAAAGATATCTCATTTTGAAATGTACTGAAATTGAGACTCTGGAATCCTGAGAATTACTTTGTGTAGGATTATTACAAATATATATAAAGTGTTTTGTACTTTCTCTTTTCTTAAATATTGCATTTCTCCTTTTTTTTCTGATTATGAAGATTAAAACTTTGCTTTCAATTAAATGTCAACTACCAGAATGCAAATTTAAGTAACTGTATATCTGAATTACATTCTGTCTGATCTACTGGGCTCAAGAATAATTAAGTGATTCTGATATGTTTTATAATATTAATGCACTCAGACATGCTGACCTTTACATAAGGAGACAGGAGGGTTAGCTTACTATCTATTGAGTGTCCGGAGGAGTTATTTTTTAGAAAATGATTGGTTTAATGTTAAGCTATTCTGTATGCTCTTGTTGAGTTTACTTCTTAACCAACAGCATATTTTATGAGATTAGTGATCTACAGGCAGAGTTTTCACCTTTGCACATCAAACTGGCCTATATTGGAATGAAAATCACAACCTCAGCTTCTTTAACACTCGATCTAACTAACTTTGCTAACTGGCCCAGACTTAGAAATCTGTTTACAATGATTTCATTCACACTCTGGTAGCTTTCCTCCTGTGGGCCACAGGCTGAACCTGTGGCATGCTAACAGAATCACTCATGTGGCACCTCATGTCTTCTGTTTAGAGGCCCCGGATCTAAAGCAGGAGGAGCGTCTACAAGAGCTGGAGAGCTGTTCTGGACTAGGTAGCACATCTGATGATACGGATGTCAGGGAGGTCAGTTCCCGCCCCAGCACACCAGGCCTCAGTGTTGTGTCGGGTATGTCTGTCTTGTTTTAAGGAATAAGGATTGCAAGGTGTGTTCCCACCTCTTCATTTACAAAGTTGATAACAGAGATATGTTTTATTTAAGAGTTGAGGAATTTCCAGGAAACAAAATTATTTCCGTGGGACCTTAAATCTATGAGAACTTAACATGTGGCTTTCTAGAGCCTGTTGAAGTAATTGGCAAACAGTCTGTGTGTTCCCTCTCTAATTCTATCTGTTCTTGGTGGTCTCTGCTACTGTATTTGGATACCACATGATACTTGCAATTATGTTGTACAAATCAAGGCAAGCATATTTAGGCAGTAGTACAATAAAGGATATGATACCAGACATCTCACACGTATAGCACTGGGACATAAAAATTTTGAGAATATTTACATTTCTCCAAACTTCATATACTTTTTGTGTGGTTATTTTGTTCTTTTTGCTGTTTATTTTTTACTTTATTTTTTTTTTAAAGGCATTAGTGCAACCTCTGAGGATATTCCCAATAAGATTGAAGACCTGAGATCTGAGTGCAGCTCTGATTTTGGGGGTAAAGATTCTGTCACTAGTCCAGACATGGATGAAGTAACTCATGGTAAGAAGGGGAAAGGAGAATGACTTAAAAATGATCACATTCACAGGTGAAACTGGCAGTCTTATACTTTTGCCGGTGATAATATCAGTTGATCGAGCACTTCGGGGCATAATTTTGGCAGTACGTATGTAAGGCCTTGAAAATTCACAAACCAGGGGCGCCTGGGTGGCTCAGTTGGTTAAGTGTCCGATTCTAGGTCTCAGCTCAGGGCTTATTCTCAGGGTCGTGCGTTCAGGTCCTGTGTTGGGCTCCACACTGGGCATAGAGCCTACTTAAAAAAAGAAAAAATTCACAAACTAAATTTGGTTCAGTTAGTCCACTTTAGGAATTAGTCATCAGGAAACCATTCCATGTATGCAGAAAGTCTTACGTTCTTCATAACATTTATATTGGCAGAAAATGAGAAACAACCTAAGGGTTGAAAAATAGAATTGCTAAGTGAATTTTGATGCACCCACTCATAATTTATGCGGCTGGGTTTTGTTTTTGTTTGTGTTTTGTGGCTGTTTTTTTAAAATCTTTAAACGTATGAAATAACTTGAAACTCTAGAAATACTAAAACGTAGTATCTCTTGGGAAATTTATCCTGAAGAATTTTATATATAAGATAATAAAACATTAAAAAAACTATCATAGAGAAAGCACAGGAAAGAAATGCCAAAATGCTAGCAGTGGTTTTATGTACTGGGCTTTTAGGTACTTTTTCTTTCTTACAAAAAATGTTTTTTGTTTGTTCTAAACCAAGATTTCTCATCCTCAACACTATTAACATTTTGGGCCAGGTAGTTCTTTGTTATGGAAACCTGTTCTGTGCATTATAGGATGTTTAGTGACATCTCTGGCCTCTACCAGGAACATGGCACCCTCTTCTTCCCCTGCGGTTGTGACAACCAAAAATGTCTCCAGATACTGCCACATGATCCCTTGGGGAACAGAATAGCCCCATTTGAGAACCACTGTTCTAAATAAGCAATTTTCAGAGTATAGTCTCCATGGACCACTGAGGACCCTTAAGACCCTTTTGGGGAATGAGGGGTAATGAGGTCAAAACTGTTTTCATAATAGTAAAAGGTTGTTGTCCTTTTCACCATATTGACATTTGCACTGATGGTGCACAAGCAAAGGTGGGTAAATTTGCTGTGGTGGGCCTTAGCATGAAGCAAAGCAGTGGTACTGAACAGTTAGCAGTCACTATATTCTCTCACAGTGAAAAAAGAAATCTTTCATGAATCAGTAAAAATTATTTAATTACATCTCAACCCTGAATACACATCTGTTCAAAATTCTGAAGAAATAGGAAATACTCCTAATGCATGGTGGTGAAGTATCTCAAGGAAAAACACTTAGATGGTTATTGGAGCTGTGAGCTTAACTAGCTGTTTCTTCTCTTGTTTGTTTTTCATGACACACCATTTTTACTTGAAAGGATGACTGACAAACTGTAGTTATTCATATTTGGGTATTTGGCAGGCATTTATTGAAAATTAACAAAGTGAGCCTATCACTTCAAGGAAAACAACCGACAGTAGAGTTTGTTGCCAGTGATAAAATTCAGGCTTTCAGGTAAAAATGAGAATTTCGGAAAACTTGTATCCACCTTCATGAGCTTGACAGCTTTCTGATATTTAAAGACTTTTCTGATGAGATTGGTGGTTTTTCTGATGAGCATGTGATTTTTTGATATTATATATTGAAATGTGTCAACATGTGGAAGATCTGCATATCTCATTGAACTAGTATTTTCCGGGTGATCAATGCATGATGTTACAAAAATCCTTTAAAGTGGAAGACAGACCAAATAATTTTAATGTAACAGAGTAAAAGTTCATTGATTTGGTTTTAGATTCCAAATTATAGCTAACCTTTAAAAAACTACTAATCAAGATTTGGTGTTGTATCATAGAAGAATGTCCACAATTATCTGAGAAGGCTGTTAAAATATCTTCCCTTTTCCAACTACATAATCTGTGTGAGGCCAGGTTTATATACTTCAGTCAAAATATGTATTGCAACAGATTGAAAGCAGAAGCTCATAGGAGAATCCAGCTCTGTTCTATTAAGCCTTACATTAAAGGAATTTGTAAAAATGTAAAACAGTGTCAGTCGTTATTTTTTTATTTTGGAAAATAGTTATTTTTCATTTAAAAGGGTTATTTGTATTACCATTTAACAGATATGTTTAATGAATTAATATATAAATATATATTTGTTTTCATTTTTAATTTATGATATGGTGTCAGTAGGTATAACCAACATATATAGGCTCTTTGGGGCAATAATTTTTAAGAATGTGAAAGTGTCCTAAGACCAAAATTTTAGAACTCATATTCTAAGATGTCTTTAATAATAATATACTGTTTTTATAATTTTAATAGAGGAAAATCAAAAAGCATAAAATCAAAGTACTGTCATTCATGAACATTAAAGAGTTCAGACTCAAAAAGTTTAGAGTAACTGCTTTTCTTTTCTTTCTTTCTTTTTTTTTTTTTTTGAGAGAGAGAGAGCCCTGGGGTGGGGGGTAAGGGGAGAGGCAAAGGGAGAGAGATAATCAAGCTGGGCTCGATCTCACAGCCCTGAGATCATGACCTGAGCTGAAATCAAGAGTCAGATGCTTAACTGACTGAGCCATCCAGGCACCTCTAGAGGTTTCTTTTATATATTTAAAAGTTTTAGCCTCTGCATACTTACCTGTTTTAATATTTCTGATTTTGGTTGTGTAGACATATGCTTAGAGGAGTCATTTTTACTCCATAGCTGAGAGTAGTTTGAATCTGTTTTGTGGTGTAATGTAGCATTCATTTTTGTTTAGGAGTACTTTTATAAATTGTTATTTGCTGAGAACAGTATAAGAATTTCAAATTTTACAACTTTTTATTTATATTCCTTCTAGGTAATATTGCCCTTATTTTTTAAAAGATTTTATTTATTTGAGAGAGAGAAAGAGTACAAGCAAGGGTAGTGACAGAGGGGAGAGGGAGAAGCAGGCTTGACACGGGGCTCCCAGCACCACGGGACCATAACCCGAGCCAAAGGCTGACGCTTAACGACTGAGCCACCCAGGCGCCCCTGCCCTTATTATTATTATTAATATTATTTTTTGCCCTTATTTTTTATAGGTGGAGGGAAGGTGAGGCTCAGGGCAGTTGTGACATTCTTTTTTTTTTTTTAAGATTTTATTTTTTATTTATTTATTTGACAGAGAGAGAGAGAGAGAACAGGAACACGAGCAGGGGGAGTGGGAGAGGGAGAAGCAGGCTCCCCACCGAGCAGGCAGCCCGATGCGGGGCTTGATCCCAGGACCCTGGATCATGACCTGAGCTGAAGGCAGACGCTTAATGACTGAGCCACCCAGGCGCCCCCAGTTGTGACATTCTGAAAATTTTGATGATTTACATCGTTTGGCTCTACTCCTGGCATTAACTATAATACGATTTGGCCATTAAAAGTAATTAACATAATTAACATGCGGTTGCTATACCACTTAAATGTCATTAAAATCCATGTATGTAGATAAAAACATACCATGAATTTGAAGTAATCAGAATATGATACCTATTAGATTCTCTTTTTTTTTTTATATGCCCCTCAAGTTCTATTGATCAGAAAAGGAAAACTGGGGTGCTTGGGTGGCTCAGTCGGTTGAGCATCCAACTCTTGATTTCAGTGTGGGTCATGACCTCAGGATTGGGAGATCAAGCCCTGCCTGGGCTTGTGCTGGGTATGGAGTCTGTTAGGGATTCTCTCTCTCTCCCTCTGCTCCTTCCCCCATGTGTGCACTCTCTCTCAAATAATAAATCTTTAAAAAAAAAAAAAGGAATACTGTGGAAGAATGCTAGAACCTTTTTCACTGTGTAGAAACTCTTAGTGGTGAGTTCTGATTGGTCTTACAGTTTGCCCGTTTATTTTAGGCGCCCACCAGCTGACCTCTCCTCCTTCTCAGTCAGAGTCTCTACTTGCCATGTTTGATCCACTGTCTTCACATGAAGGTAAAGTAGTCAGATGAGCTTTTTGACTTACTCTGGGCGGAAGAACAGAACCAAAACCCTATGTTGATGCCTTTGTTGGATCAGTTGTATCTCAGTTGCAAACTTTTTTTCCCCTGTGTTCTAGGGGCTTCTGCCGTGGTAAGGCCAAAGGTTCACTATGCCAGGCCATCGCATCCACCACCAGATCCCCCAATCCTGGAAGGAGCTGTGGGAGGAAATGAGGCCAGGTTGCCAAACTTTGGTTCCCATGTTTTGACTCCAGCTGAAATGGAGGCATTCAAGCAAAGGCATTCTTACCCTGAGAGATTAGTTCGCAGCAGGAGCTCTGATATAGTATCATCTGTCCGGCGACCTATGAGTGACCCCAGCTGGAACCGTCGTCCAGGGAATGAAGAGCGAGAACTCCCTCCAGCCGCAGCCATTGGTGCTACTTCTTTGGTGGCTGCACCTCATTCATCATCTTCCTCCCCGAGTAAGGACTCCTCAAGAGGAGAGGTATGGGACACAGGCCATCTAGAAGAATTTTGCTAATTGTGGTCAGCTTTAGTGTTCTGTCCACTTGGTTCTCTTGATGTGTGAAATTAACATGGTATATATAAATCTAAGAGTGAAGATGGACAGCGGTCCTGATTAAAGATGATCTGTCAGTCTAATTTGTCCACACTGTAGCCCATGGGAAACCTGTACTATTTTGGTTTTGTAGTAATGTATTTTTGCATTTTTATGACACTTTGAACTTTTCTCCAAGCAATTTTATATCTAATTTCATTTAAACCTCACAGTTTCCTTCCGAGATGAGAAATTAAATGATTTGTCTAAGGTCGCTTGATAGGCTGGTAAAGGAACTATATAGTCTCAGCTCTTTGACATGTGATTTTAATAACTCAGTTTAATAACTCAGTTTAAGGCGATCAAAACATGAACTTTGAAGTTGTTTGCATCTGGGTTTGAGTCGCAACTATGCCACATGCAGGCTATATTACTTTGGAGAAGATAGGAAGATAACTTTTTTTAGCCCCTTATTTCTCATCTGTAAAAAGGGCTTAATAGTAGTATTTATCTCCTAAGGCTACTGTGAGGTTTAAATGCAATAATACGTATCCTTAACCCTTGGTATTTGGCACACAGTCCATACTCAATTTTATTATTACTGCTACCCCTCTAGACTTTATGTGCATTGTGCTTACTCCTTCCAAAAGTATTTATTGAGTGCCTTACTCTATGCGAGGCTCTGTATTAAGGTTTTTGTTTACTAATAGTAATGAGATAGTGCCTGCCCTCAAGCAGATCATAGTCTGGTGCTTAAAAGGTATACTTCCATGTTTCAGAAGTTGCCTGTACAGCAATAAGAACAGTTTTGCTTTTAAGACAAACAAGAGTGGTTTTTGTATTTCACAGAGAAACTGAAACCCTTTTCCTAGTAATTTATCCTGCTGTCCAACTCCAAATAAAGCATCAAACTTTTTCTACAGACTGAAGAACGCAAAGATAGCGATGATGAGAAATCAGACAGGAACAGACCTTGGTGGAGAAAACGTTTTGTTTCTGCCATGCCTAAAGGTAATTTTATAAAATATTAGAATTATATTAGCAACAAGAAGCAAAGCCCCCAAATCTCTTTCAGAGAGCCAGTATGTCAGCTCCTCTATGTGGCTTGCTGGGCCTAAGTTTCTAGCCGTTTGGAGGGTATAGAAAATGGTTTCACTCAGGTGAATGCTGAAGGCAGACCTTTAGAAATGATAGTTCTTGTTCTTTGCAGGAAGTGGTAGTGGTTTCATAAGTGGAAGTCAGGCAGGTCACGGTTGTTTAAATATCATATGCCATTAGGGTTAAACGTGGGACTTTTAACATCTGTATTGCTAATAATTATTGCAGGAAAAAGGGATGCTATTGGTAATTAAACATTGAAAATTCATCCTTTACATTCCTGGAGTAAACTTAAGCTTTTTATGTTTATGTTTGTTGAGAATGTTTATATTCTGAATATTAGTGAGTGTTTATTTTGGAAGGCAGTTGTATAAAATTGTTTGCTTTTTTTTTTTTTTGTGACTAGCCTGGCATTGTAGCAATAAATACTGAGATTTGAGTTGGCAAAAGCGTCTCTTCCTGCAAGGAGAGATCATCCAGGGTTAAGGCTAGGGACTTCTTCCAAAGTCCTCTTCTCGGCACCGTGGCACTCAGGAGCTGAGGAGCTCTGCTTTCAGCTGCACTCAAGCCCCCTTGATGAGGAGAGATTGAGGCTCAGAGCTTTGAATGTGTTGTTTTCGAGCAAAGGTTAAGAGGCAGTGGTTTTGATTTAGTCCCAACAGATTTGAGTTAAATCGTTCTTCCTGTGACAGATGACCCCAAAGCAGATCCTGAAAGCTTCTGTAAGAACCTTCAACACTGTTTTAAGAATGATTATCAGTGGACACTCAGGATTCCTTAGCTTTTAAACTTTTCACCTTCCTTTCACTTAGAAATGTTGGCCCACCAGTTAATACTCCAAAATGACTGCTGTCTTCCGAGTAGTGCAGTATGTTATGTGTCACGCTACTGACTTTATTTAATTTCCAGCTCCTATACCATTTAGAAAGAAAGAAAAACAAGAAAAAGACAAAGATGATGTGGGGCCTGACAGATTCTCAACACTCACAGGTTTGTAGACCGTGGACTTCCTGGCTCCTTCATTCCCAGAGCACATATTTCATAGCACTGTTTCCTGGGCGTCATAAGCGCTGCCTTTTTAGAAGAGTGTGTCTGTGTGTGTGCAGTGGGGAGTGTGTTCTTCATAGTTCCGTGGCTTCCAGGCGGTGGCCGCAGTGAACCTCAGTGTGCTCTTCCTGCAGACCGCCACCGCCATCCTCATCCTCATTATCATAACTTCTGTGTATGATGAGGCCCCTGGGGCTGAGCCTCTAGGCACAGCCCTACAACGCGACATCCCAGGGGGACGATGCCACACGGGGCCTTTTAGGAAAGTGTGGTGATGGTTTTAGTGCGATGCATGCCACATCTTTGGATCATTGATCAAATAGCTTTCTCTAACGTTGATCATAGAATTCTAAATTTATTCCCATCTGTAGTTCTTGATTATTCAGGATCACAGTGAAATTCTGTTCTACCTAATCATTTCCTTTTTTTGTGATAAAGTGTTCAAACAGTACCATAAATTTATAAACTTTACTAATTTTTTACAGCTTGAATCATTTTAACATTGCTATCTGACCCAAGGAAAATACAACTGGGGATTGGATTCTTACCTTATTCAGCATTTGTGTTTTTGCAGCTTCTGTTTGGCTTATTATGAATGAGCACCCTTAAAGGAATGAGTTCGAGAAGTAGTGTTAATGACCCCACCTTGAGTTTGATAGCTTTGTATACTGTTTCTGATGGCTGTAGAGCATCTAGACCAGAAATTAATTTCTCACCTCTTTTTTTCTTATCTTGATTTTCAACTATGTTATCCTACTAAATTAAAATGAAGATTTTTATTAAAAAATGGTATAGGTTTCCAAAGAACATTCTCCTCAAGTAGCTCAGCGTAGTACAGGTAGAATCCCATTTTAATGCGTTCATTCTGGTATCTGGTTCCATGTATTTAGATGTATTTCCATGGTCTCTAGCATACATCCCTGCTTTATCTGGTGCAGCGGCTCTCCTGGAATGAAGGGTTTTGAAGAGCAGGAGCTATGTGTCCAGGCTAAGATTCCCTGCTGAGAGCCGCCAGGCCTGTCTTACTCAGTCAGCAAATACTTGTTGAACATCTGACTCATGCCAGGCACTGTGCTAAGTGTTGTGGTTATTCAGTCAAATCAAAGGAGCCTACAGTCCGATTGAGAGGAGTTGGAAACATATTAATATGTTTTCTTACCAGGTTCCTGGTGTTAGACCACCACCAGTGTTTATGGAATGAAATACTCTTAATGAAATCTAATGTTTTTAAAATGTTGAATTAATAACTGGAGAAGTTATAAATTATTTTTTGCTTGTGTCTTTGGGCAAATGTTTTCCTTGGTTCTTGGTGCCTAATCTAGAAGCTAAGTAGAGTTAAGTGTTTTTTTTTTTTTTCATAAGGTATTTAATTTTCTTTGTGTTTGATTCAAGCAATTTAGCTTTGCTACTAGTGCGGAAATTTCTGTCCGGTCCTAATTAATGACCTGTTGAAAATTATCATTAAATCAACTTTTAATGATATGAAAGGAAATTTCTTAACAGTCTGTCCATAATGCAGTCACCCTAACTATCCTTTTTTTTTTTTCATATTCTTTCCCAATCTTTCCATATTTGTATACATGGCTTTTTCATGACTGAATCAGAGTATTGTGTAACTTTCTATTCTTTTACTACATGTTATTTCATAGACCCTCTCCAGTTTCTTATAGACATGGTTGGTTTTAATAATTTGTATTGGCTCACAGATAATCTGTCATATGATTTTATAGCATTGTGAATGTTCTCCTGCTTTTGGATACTTGAATTGTATCCAGTTTTTTTACCGTGAAAATACTGCTCACAGCTTCGTATATGTAGTATATTTTGTTTGTTTTCATTACTTTCCTGGGATAAAGTTCTTAATGGCGTAGATATAAAGGTTATAAGCGACATTACGGCTTTCCCTGTGGTTAGCCACATTTTATTGTTCCTTTTTCAGAATGCTCAACAGCACTCAAAACCAATAGCAAAAAAGTACTTCCCCTCCAAAGAAAGATTTTGTAATGATAAAAGGTTTATCAGTTTACATTTTCAAGATCAGATTTTATTAGGATTCTCTTCTCATGCATTCAGATACCATTAAAGCAGAAAGATTAAATTAGTTTGGAAACCCTCCTTCTCTACAGTTTACTGCAATTTTACAGAGACATGGATACTAAATTTTTTTCCCCATGGAAACAGAAGAGCCCATGAGCATACTACTGAACCTCTCTGTACCTGATTTCCTCGTCCATAAAACTGAGGTGATAACAGTACCTCCCTATAGGGTTGTTGTGATGATTAATTGAGGTCGTTTATATAAGCTGCTTAGCACAGTTCCTGGCACGTGGTAAGTGCTCAATAAATGTTAGCTGCTATTATTATTAACTGCTATCAACACACACACATATATAAAATCTAGTGTTTTTTAATGTGTTTTTAGACTTTTTGAAAAATGGGATTCTACCAGAATGTGGACATTTATGGTTACCTTCTTGGTCTAGATCTACCTCAGGAGTTTGCATTTCACTATAGAACTTGATTTTGTCCCATAGATCTGTAGCAGTTCTTTGCCTTGATGACTGTGTCATCTTAGACTTCAGGAACACATTTTGATGCACTAATTTTGCTGACAGGATAATGGTTCTGACAGTAAACAGTGCTACGTCTGTGATGGTGATAAGCTTTTTCTCCGTGTACCCTGGGTACAATTCCCAGCACTTTCCAGCAGTGGCTAGATTCTCTCGGAGTGCCTCTGACACCGTTGCAGGCACAGAAGTGCACTCTTCTAGCAGCTGCACTGTTGTGGTGAGATTCAGTAAGACAGAATATTGATACCTGAAGTTTTCAAATGTGGTGCAGAGAGAGAGTCATACAGGAAGAGCGGAGGAAGGCATTTTTTATTATTTAAAAGGGTTTAATTCTAAATTTGATACTTTTTCCCCTCCTTCAGCATGGAGATGTCTGAATACATGAATCTGCATATAAAGATGCACTATTGGAAGTTCTGTTAGCATGAACTGCTAATAACAGTAACTTGAGTGGAAGCGCTTTAGAAACCCGTCATCCATGTAGTCTGCACTGAACTTCCCGACACTGTCATGCAGAATTTTGGCAGTGATGAGAAAATGGAGCCAATCCTCCCAATTTCGTGCTTGGGCAAGGCTCTCAGACCGAGAAATGGGATGAGCAGGCAGCTGCATGGTGCCTCTTAACATTGAGATATGTGCTCTTTTTAAGTCTTACCTCCTAATCCGCCTTTGGGATTATGCTACTGGTATCGTACTAACATCAGAATTGCTACAAACCAAGGGGAGCTAATTCTCTCCTCTCCTTTCCCCTGCAGATGATCCCAGCCCTAGACTCAGTGCACAAGCTCAGGTCGCCGAGGATATTCTGGACAAATACAGGAATGCCATTAAGCGAACCAGCCCCAGTGAAGGAGCAATGGCAAACTATGAAAGTACAGGTGATCATCATGATAAAGATTTGAATACAGTTGACCCTGAACAATGTGTGGGGTGTGGGGGTGTGTGTGGGGTGGGTCGGTAGGGACACCGATGTCCCACGTAGTTAATAATTTATATGTGACTTTTGACTCCCCAGAAATGACTGATAGCCTACTGTTGACTGGCAGCCTTAACAACATAGTCAATTAAGCATATTTTGCATGTTATATGTAGTATATACTGTGTTCTTACAATAAAGTAAGCTAGAGAAAAGACAGTATTCTTAGAAAATCATGAGAGAATACATTCACAGTACTGTATGTATGTACTAAAAAAAAAATCCACATGGGAGTGCCTGGTTGGCTCAGTCAGAAGAGCATGTGATTCTTGATCTTGGGGTTGTGAGTTCGAGCCCCACATTGAGTATAGAAATTACTTAAAAATTGAAAAGAAAAATAATCCATGTATAAGTGGACCCATGCATTTCAAACCTATGTTGTTCATGGGTCAAGTGTTCTAACTTCGGTATCACAGTGAAAAGTGATCTGAATAAAAAGTAGCTTTTTTTTTTTAAGATTTTATTTATTTATTTGAGAGAGAGAAGGAGAGAGAGAGAGAGCACATGAGAGGGGGAGGGTCAGAGGGAGAAGCAGACTCCCTGCCGAGCAGGGAGCCCGGTGCGGGACTCGATCCCGGGACTCCAGGATCATGACCTGAGCCGAAGGTAGTTGCTTAACCAACTGAGCCACCCAGGCGCCCCTAAAAAGTAGCTTTTTAATAGCTATTTTGAATAGCTGTCAGAAAAATATGGTATAATCCCTAAGATAAAGTAAGAGGAAAGAAATGTATATAAAAGCATAAATTATATACTGCATGTGTTTCTGCTTGTGTGTGCCTGCACTTCCAGTGTCCCTGGAAGAATCTGACTGGTAATGTGAGATGGCTCAGGGAGAAATCATAGGGAGCATAAGGGGAAGCCAAAGTAGAGATGGATTTCCCATACTTATTATTTTGAAAAGTTTCAAAGGACAGAAGAGTTGAATAGTACAGTGAAGGTCCATATTCCTTCTACCTGGACTTTATCAGTTGTTAACATTTTGCCGCATTTTCTCTCTGTATATTTTTTCCTTTTTTTCCCTGAAGCATTTGAAATTATCTCTTAATAAAGGTAGTTGTCCTACGTAAGCACAGTATCTTTATTATAGTATGAGTTTTTATTCCTTTTGATTTTATATATGAATGTATTCTCTAAATTGGTTAATTAAAAACATAAAACCAGCTGCAGGAGCCACAGATCTGTCCCAGCTCAACCTGGGCAGTGGGAAAAGCCCTAGTAAAGAGCCCTGGAGAGCTGAGGGCAGGGTTCACCTTACCACCAGGTAGCTGAGGGCTGTCCAGCAAGCCACTTTCTGCTTGGGCAGGATTCCATGACTATAACATGAGGGTGTTATGTAAGATGATTTTTGAGGCCCCTCTTAGTTCTGTGGTTTAGCAATTTTGATTAAAGGCAATCAAAGTCTGTGACTTAACAGATAATGATTCAGTGCTTCATTGAACAGCTCTGACTGTAAAGTACAGTGCTAATTTATGGTCAAGTAGCTTGAACACCTCCTTGTGCTAGACTCTTCCAGGTTAACCTGCTTTTATCCTCTCTTGGGGGGTGGGTTTGTGCAGAGGTCATGGGTGATGGTGAGAGTGCACATGACTCTCCTCGAGAGGAAACGCTGCAGAACATCTCGGCCGATGATCTCCCGGACTCTGCGAGCCAGGCGGCCCACCCTCAGGATTCTGCTTTCTCATACAGGTATTTCTTTGATAGGATTTCAGATTTGTGGGTTTGGACTTTTCGTCATCACTGCAGTTGCTTCAAGTCAAATGATTCATTGAGCCACTGAGTAAATGTAGAGAGCAGAGAGATAAGAATGAAATGCTATTTCCTGAAAAGACTGCTTCACTGTGGATGCCATATATCAGAGGCTTTAATTCAGGGGTGAAAAGCCAACCACATGTGCTCACAGAGGCCACGTCAGTCATTTAAATGACACAAGTGGCAGTCCCTTTGCCCACACCAAGCTCCCTGGCCATGGGGGAAATGCTGGGGGAGACTGAACGGATGGCAGGGTCAGCTGCAGTGTCAAGCAGTAGAGCAATAGGAAGGGCTTCTTGTCAAGTGGTGAGCTCGTCCTGTGGCAGGATCAGCCTTTCTCAAGAGATGTTGTGGAGGGCATTCTTGGTTTGTGTGATGAGATGGTTCTGGTGACTTCCGTGGCCCCTGCTGACCCTGTCATAATGCCCCTTTCTCATTCTCCTCATAATGTTCGTTGTGAGACTCAGTATATGTTGCAGGGTCCAAAGGACTTGTTGTTTGACTGATTCTGGTGACTTCACAGAATGATCCTGCCCAGAGCATTTTTATAGCCTTGCTCCTTGGGTAACTAGAAAGCCTGTTCCTTTAAGTGAGGTGTCAGTAAATTAAAAACTATCTTTTATTTATGACTGCTTGAAACATTTGAGTCCTGAGGTAGCATATTAATTTATATAGTGAGTGTTCATAAACTGTGACCGTATCTGCATGAAGAAATTACTGTACTTTTGGGGTGCCTGGGTGGGTCAGTTGGTTGGGTGGCTGCCTTCGGCTTGGGTTGTGATCCCGTGGTCCTGGGATCGAGCCCTGCATCAGGCTCCCTGCTCGGCGGGGGAGTCTGCTTCTCCCTCTCCCTCTGCCCCTCCCCCCGCTTGTGCTCTCTCTCCCTCTCTCTCCCTCAAATAAATAAAATCTTAAAAAAAAGAAATTAATGTACTTTTGACTCACTCTTCAGAGATGCAAAAAAGAAACTGAGGCTTGCTCTTTGCTCTGCGGATTCTGTTGCTTTCCCAGTGCTAACCCATTCAACAAGGAACGGTTTACCGGACCATACAGACCCAGAGGGTAAGTTTTTCCTGTATTTATGGGTTGAACTATGTGAAACTGCCTGTACACAGCCTGTGTAAGCTATATAGCAATTCCATATGGTTCCATTAATATATTTGTATTAGCATCGGGTAAGGGCACTTTGATTCCTGATGCTTCATTAAAGTGAGTGGCAGTGCAGCTTAGTTCTGCTGATCTGTGGTTGAGCAGAACTGACATCCCAGAGGCTGAGGGATGGCATGCAATGGAAATTCTCGACAATAACAGAATTCTCTCTCTCTCTCTCTTTTTTTTTTTGTTTAGACAATGAAATTGTATGCTTCTTAAAAGTTCAAATAGCTGAAGCAATTAATTTACAAGATAAGAACTTAATGGCTCAACTTCAAGAAACAATGCGTTGCGTGTGCCGCTTTGATAACAGAACTTGCAGGAAACTGCTGGCCTCTATTGCCGAGGACTACAGGTATTTACCCCAGCCTCCTGTACCTGTCACCTGACGTCAAGGATCTTCTTCCCTGTCTTGATTTCACAAGTGAATCTAGGCTAACTGCAACATGCTGGGCTGTGTTTATCTGGTTGTAGATTTCCAAGGAACACATTTGGATATTTATCTGGAAATGTAGTTGTAAATGAGCAGCTCTCCCCACTAACAGAGAAGTGCACTGTCCTTCAGCTTTGCACTGAAGCAGGGTTAGCAGAGGTGAGGCCAGGATAACTAGGGTATCCTGCTCCTTTTCTTGGGGGTGACCGGAAAAACGAATTCCCTGCAACAGGGAAGCAGGCGTAGGCCTAAAAATTGCTGCCCTCTGTCTGCTGCTGCCCTTTGCTAACAGTTCAGGAGAAGAGTGTCAGGGAGATTCTTGGGAGATGACCAGGCCCCCAGGCTTAGGGGATGGGCGCTCTAATGATTGTTACAATTAGACTATAAGCAAATAATTGCTGATACGTTTAATGATCTAGTGTTATATTAACCTGTATTTTGTTGTTTTAGTCTTCTGTAGCAATCAGTTTCCTGTGAGGTGTGAGGTCTTACAGCATGGAGACCATGGGCCAATTTAAAATCAATCAAGGATGCCTAGGGACTTAGTAACATGTAGTGAGTTAGGTAGCTAAGTGGTCAGCCCAGTAGGTGTTACTCTTCACCAACACGAGCGGGCAGCATGATTAGTCCTCAAGACAGTTGTCTGCAGCCTGACATGGTTAATTCATTTAGGGCTCTTCGTCTCCAAGAAAGTGTGCACTGTATGTATATGATGTCCTGCAAAGCCTATTTCCTTTTAGGAAAAGGGCACCCTATATTGCTTATCTCACTCGCTGCCGGCAAGGGCTGCAGACCACGCAGGCCCACCTGGAGAGGCTACTGCAGAGGGTGTTGCGGGACAAAGAGGTGGCCAACCGATACTTCACCACTGTCTGTGTGAGGTTGCTGCTTGAGAGCAAAGAAAAGAAGATCCGGGAATTCATTCACGGTAACGAAAGACCTTTAGACTAAGCAGCTCTTCAGCCATGTGTTAGTGGGGAGATTCGGACATTTTTGTATTGCTTGTGTGAGTAGTTGCGTGTCTAAGAGTAGTAGTCCCTTAAATTCCCAGGTGTCTTACGGATTCTTAATCATTAAACCTTGATGTTGAACCAGTAAATTTCATTTTTATCATGGATCGAATATCTGTAGTTTATACAAAATTGGGAAAATTGGTTAAAGTTTTGGATCCACAAAATTCTTCTCATATTTAAAAATAAAGCATATCATTAAAATTCTTTTAATTTTTACTTTTTAATATTTATTTTTAAAATTCCATTACAATTAATGTACAGTGTCGTCTTAGTTTTAGGTGTACAGTATAGTGATTCAATACATTAGTCAAAGTATGTCATTTTTGTAACAAACCCCTTGCTCTTAAACTTTTGCATATTTCTTACCTTTCTCCCGATTTTAATGATTTTGCCACATATTCTCCTAAAATAAACCCTACCCAGATACTTTTGGCTTTAAGTGCATAATATCTGCATAGCTAGTTATTAAAATGATTTCTGTAATTTCCTTTTTAAAATTATTCAGATAGTGTATTTAAAAAATTGTTATTTTGCATTGGAGACTTTCAGCAACTCACAGCAGCTGATGATAAAACTGCTCAGGTAGAAGATTTTCTGCAGTTCCTTTATGGTGCGATGGCCCAGGATGTCATATGGCAGAATGCGAGTGAAGAGCAGCTTCAGGACGCTCAGCTGGCCATCGAACGGAGTGTGATGAATCGGATTTTCAAGCTTGCTTTCTACCCTAACCAGGATGGGGACATACTTCGTGACCAGTGAGCACTCCCATGTTTACTGCGCCCGGTTGACCGCGTAGGGGTACATCAGCCAGTCCCTTGTTCACAGCAGCTGTGCTGAGACTTAGTAGGTGACAGTGAAGGCAGTGTGTGTTACTATTTTTCACCCATCTGATTCCAAGATCAGAAAGAAGGGTAACTCTCTGTTTTCAGGGCAGTGGGAATGAGGCCGGAGGGTGTCTCAGTTGCTGTGGCCTTTTGGAGGGCGCCACTGCTCTTCCAACCCAGCTGTTCTCCCCTCCTTTCTCTTCCTTCAGATCTTGACTGCAGCGCTTCCTCCCTGGCCTTTCCGGCTGGGTCCTGTCCCTGGTAGGGCTCTCCTAGGCCTGTGTACCTCTTGTTAGCACTTGCCCCCGTTGTGCTTTGACATTCCTCCGCCTGGTGCTACTGACATTTTGGGTCAGATAGTTTTTTGGTGTGGGAGGCTGCTGTGTGCCTTGTGGGATGTTTAGCAGCATCCCTGGTCTGAACACACTAGATGCTAGTAGTATCCCCTGCTGTGAGAAGCAGAATGTCTCCGGGCAGTGCCAAATGCCCCTCAGGGGGGGCAGAATCACCCCCTTCTTGATCACCACTGTGTGTGGTCGTCTGGTGAGCGCCGCTCTCCTCCACTGGGTCATCGGCTCCACAAGAGCAGGAACATCATGCTTTTTATTCACCACTCTCCCCCAGCATCAAGCACAGTGCTTGACTTCCATATGCTCATTATCTGTTTAGTAGGAATGAAAAGCTCTACGTTTGGGTATGAAAAAATATCTGGAAATGTATGGTGTATGAATTATGTCTCAATAAAGCAGATTTAAAAAAATAATCCTAAAAAAAAATTAATCCTGAAAAAAAAAAGTACCTGGAGTGGTAACAGGGGTTCTATTTTCAGTAATGAGACTAGGGATGATTTCATATTTTCATGTTTCCTTGTTTGCATTTTCTTTTTTTTTTTTAAAGATTTTTTTTATTTATTTATTTGAGAGAGAGAGAGAATGAGAGATAGAGAGCACGAGAGGGAAGAGGGTCAGAGGGAGAAGCAGACTCCCTGCTGGGCAGGGAGCCCGATGTGGGACTCGATCGCGGGACTCCAGGATCATGACCTGAGCCGAAGGCAGTCACCCAACCAACTGAGCCACCCAGGCGCCCCTTGTTTGCATTTTCTTGAGCACTGCTTTCCAACCCTGTTTCTCCCCCAAGCATGTTTAAATGGCTTCTGTGCACCCCAGCAGTAACATTGGCTTACTGTGCCAGTGGCTCTCAAGGGGTCCATGTGATAGGACCTCGGGGTGACTCGTGAGTGATTTATAGAAGGATTCTTTCATGGAAGTGCTAAGATCTTGCGTGGATGTTCAGTGAATGGGTTAGGATTGTTCCAGCCTGCCTCTCCCACTGGTTCATACTCTCAGAGATCTGCCCAGGCTTCTGTACTTACTTTGCCAAATGGGACCTGTTTTCTCTCCAGAGACCAGTTTTTGGCTTCCAGAATGGGGTAAGGAGTTAGGGACATTCAAACTATTTACCTCAAAGAGTAGCTTTGAAGCAGATTATTCCTACCCCCTCCTCCATGGCATTTCTGCAGGTGTTACAGAGTGGACAGTTAACATAGTGTTCTGGAAAGAACAGTAGAAACCAAGAAAGCTGGGTGTAGCCCCTGCTACTAATCTGTGTGTGACCTTAGGCAGATCCTTCACCTTTTTAAGCCTGATTATTTTCATCTATGAAATGAGAGAGAGTTTGAGTGTTTTCAAGAGCCCTTCTCGATCTAAACTTCTGTCATCTTTGGTTTCTGGTTTTGATCCCTGTATTTCCTCTGTGCTCTGTACTAATTAGAGCGTCCCCAGGTGGCTTCTGGGCTAGGCCTCCTCTCCTTTGTCCCTTGGAATGTGCTGTCCTCGGCTGGGAAGGAGGACTTCCCTCCTCTCCTTGTCTCCCCTCAGCTCACTTAGCATTTCTAAGCAGATCCTAAGCGTGAGACTCTTTTTGACAAGAGAATACTTAGAGCTAAGAGATACTCTCAACTGTAATTGTGATCTGTATTTCAAAATAAGTTTAAATGTTTTGAAAAAATCAATTATGACTCTTTGTGTACCTTATTATCTGAAATATGTATTTACATATGTGTTTTGGGGGGTTTGCAGGGTTCTCCATGAACATATTCAGAGATTGTCTAAAGTAGTGACTGCAAATCACAGAGCTCTTCAGATACCAGAGGTAATGCACGTGTATACAGCACGGGTGGTCCTATTTCATACGCATGGAGACAGAACGTAATAAATTATAAAGCACAGTTCGCATTAGCTGTAAGTCCAGCTGTGAAGTTCTCAAAGGTCCTAGGGTTAAAATTGCCTGGCATGGAACAGCACGTCAGCGGGGAGGTGAGGAGGAGGCTGCACTGAGGGCCCTGAAGCCACCCCGCCTCCCGCTGCCGTGCTCCCCATGGAGGTGTTCTCTCTGTTTGTTTTAGAGAGAGATCGTGATGAAGGGGATCCGAGGGGGAGAGAGAATCTTAAGCAGGCTCCGGACGCAGGGCTCTGTCTCACAACCATGAGATCGTGACCTGAGCCGGAATCAAGAGTCGGACACTTAACCAACTGAACCACCCAGGCTCCCCCTCCATAGATGTTTTTATAGTCCTGTTTCCGCAGAAAAGTCCCATTTGAATAAGGGATCTGGTGACACTCCACAGAGTGTGACTACTGTTACTCCAGGGGAGGAAATTAAATCCGAATGTGACGTCAAAATTACCTTTTAGTGTCATACAGTTTTACAAAATAATAGGAAAATTTCAGGTATTTGAGCTCTCTGGTTGTTTTATTAAAGTCCCCACTAATGAAATATTGATTAGCATGAGTTTTTAAATTATCTTTTGCCTTTTTGAATCTGTTCTTTTCTAGAGCTACTGCAACAAATGTACGTATTTTTAAATTGTTTTCTTTCAGAAGTAGCTTGTTTGTGCTTTTAGAATCAGCTACTACATGTAGAGAAGTTCCATTCTAGCTACTTAAGAAAGAGAAGTATTTGAAGTTTTTTGAATTCTAGACTGGGTGTTATCATATGCCCTTTCCTCCATTAATGGATATCTTGGTTGCTTTATTCGAAAATGCAAATTATTTAAAAGTTTAAAAATTAAGCTTCAGTCTTAGTGGGAGGGGAAGGAACAGCAATCTGGCTTTAGTGAAGAAAGGAAAAGGCACCAAGCTTGCCCTTCTGCTTCCTGACACGGAGGTTGCTATGGTGGTTTCCTGTGGTTGCTGTTAGATTCAAGATCTGTCTGTCTGTCTCTGGTCTCACTTAGGTTTATCTTCGGGAGGCCCCATGGCCATCTGCACAGTCGGAAATCAGGACAATAAGTGCTTACAAGACCCCCCGCGACAAAGTGCAGTGCATTCTGCGAATGTGCTCCACCATCATGAACCTCCTGAGCCTAGCCAATGAGGACTCCGTCCCTGGAGCAGATGATTTTGTCCCTGTTTTGGTATTTGTGTTGATAAAGGTGGGCCCCTCACTATTACTAATGAAAAGAGTTTATTTGGCATTTCTAAGCAGGGTGGTGCAGGTGTTCCCATGCTCCAGAGACCTCAGCTCTTCCCAGTCTCAAGCTCTGTGTTACCCAGAAAGAAAGTGTCTAATGTGAAGTTTGGTTCTATCCAGAAGTTAAAGTTTTCAGAAGAAAGAATAGGAGGACCAGATTGCTAGATGAACATTTCCAGCTGTTATGTGCCTGAGGTTCTTGGTTGGGGCTTGGTTGTAATTACTGAGTGAATGAATGAAGGAATGAATGAGGGCAAGTTCTTTTTGTTGTGCTTTTCCCATCTCCTTCCACATTGAATTCTTCCTAGTGCTTGTCATGTGAGGTATCAAGTCTCCCAAATACCTCTCTTCTCTTTTAGCCTCTTATTTTGTAATTGTGCCATATCATTTTATTTATTTTATTTTTAAAGATTTTATTTATTTGACAGAGACGGAGATAGAGCAGGAACACAAGCAGGGGGAGTGGGAGAGGGAGAAGCAGGCTTGAGCCTGATGTGGGGCTCGATCCCAGGACCCTGAGATGATGACCTGAGCCGAAGGCAGATGCTTAACGACTGAGCCACCCAGGCGCCTGTGCCATGTTATTTTAAAACGTACTGACAGCTCTTTTTTTTAAGATTTATTTTATTTATTTGGGGGTTGGTGGAGAGAGGGGCAGAGGGAGAGGATCTCAAGCAGTCTCTGCACTGAGCACAGAGCCTGACATGGGGCTTGATCTCACAACCCTGAGATCATGACCTGAGCCAAAATCAAGAGTTGGACACTCAACCGACAGAGCCACCCAGGCGCCCCGTATTTGTGGTATTTCTGCAGTCTGAACTCTTAGCTCCGTCAACAACCCATAGGACCCATGTGCGGTCAGCCTTCATAACTCCTGCTGCTGGCCTCACTCTCCTCTCTTCCACATGTGGTGTGACTAGTTCTTGTGCAGAGTCCGTTTGAACGTGTTCCGAGGCAAAGGCCTTAGCTTCTCCCAACCACTTAAAACACCTGTGTCCATCCTTTCCCCATGAAGAAAGTCAAAAAGCAGTAGATGTTCTCTGTTACCTCTGGCAACAGAGGGCATGTTCTCTTTTTAGTTTTTTTTCTTTCTCAGCTGATTCTGCCCGGACTTCTAACTCACTTGGCGTATAGCATTTATTTCCTTATCTAACATTTTGGAATCCTGGGATGTTGAGGAGGTCTGCTGGGATGAGTTCAGCCTCCTTAGGGACCAGCAAGCTTCAGTGACTTATAAGGATGGAAAGCTCTAGATAGTTTAGCTGGCCCTAGAACCCGAGTTGCCTTTCCAGTATACTGTTGTTGCTCGTAGTGGCTAGGGTTTATAAATTGCTTCCAGAGAAGAATTTGGGGATTATTTTCAAAAAGGACTGGTAGCTCTTCCACAGAAAAACATTTGAAGATGTTAACTTAGATGATTTTTGCAGAGCTCTACATCTGAGTATTTGACTCTCTTATTTTTCACTTCTCTAGGCAAATCCGCCCTGCTTGCTGTCCACTGTCCAGTATATCAGTAGCTTTTATGCCAACTGTCTGTCTGGGGAGGAATCCTATTGGTGGATGCAGTTCACAGCAGCAGTGGAGTTCATTAAAACTATCGACGATCGAAAGTGACCAAGACCAAGGCCCACCAAGGCCGCAAACTGTTAGGCGGGCAAACAGATCTCTTAGAAAATGTACCAGCTGCTTGGAAGGCTGAAGATTGTTTTTGTATAATATTGTACAGCATTCAGACATTTTAAAACAGATCTTTACTAAACAGATTAATGAGCTAACAAGCAGGTTCTCTTTTCTTTGGGCTCTTTTCCTTTCTGTTGCGTATTTGGTTATTTTCTTGTCCCAAGTTAGAGAATTAGTACTGCAAAAAGGGACCACATTTTTCAGGTATTTTGAAATATTAAAAAACAGAACAAAATCTAGAAAATTCCTAGATCTCCATTCATGGATACCCATTCTTTCCTTTTATTAAAAAAAATAAGAACAGTACACCTCTTTTTAGATGCTGTCTAATCTTACATGCATCTAATGGAAGGAGAATACCAGTTGCACTGAGAATTATAATGGTGGTGACATTAGTGGCATTATCTATAAATACACTCACCTAGATTGAAAAGCTAAGAAGGAAATGTAAATATAATATATATTTATATTTGATGTAATATGGACATCTTCAGATTCTAATAAACAAGGAATATTGCTGATAGTAGGTTGTGACGTACCCTCTTGTGAAATGGTTTCCTGGACAAAGTTTAAGCTGAGCTTAAAAGCAACAAACAAATACACAGAAATATTAAAGTGGAAAACAGTTTTTTGAACTTTCTAGGTGTGGAGTTTGATGCACAAGGCTGCCTTTGATGAGGGGTATAACCATCACTTAGACATTCCTCACCACGGACGTCTTTGAGCCTGCAGGAGGAAGGAGGTAGACCCTTTAATCGCCATGCATTGCGTACAAAGGAACAGTAGACACCTGATACATTACTGTGGTACTTCTTATCTGAAATACTGAATACAGTGTAGAAACCCCAAACAGAACTCCTTTCAAACCTTTGATTGTAATATATTTTTGATGATTATTCACATTGAATGACAGACCAGGAATTCAGTGAATGTCATTTTTTTTAAAAACTGATTTGTATTGTCTGCTCTAGTGATACAAGTTTTACTAGTGATAAACTATTTTAATCAACCATATTATTCTTATGGAAAAAAATCTATTTTGGCAGGTTTCTGTGCCTTTATTTCCCTCTTCTGAACAAAAGTCTATGTTTCAGTATTTTGGTTTGATTGTATATTGATAATCAGGAGTGGGTTTTGGTGTCTGAGAAATTGGCCAAGGAGGCACACCAAAGCTTCAAGCACAAGTCTTGTACGTAAGTCATGACTGACTGGTTTCACTTTGTATGTTTCCTAAACATGGTGAGCTGCTTTTATAACACACCCGGTCCCATACTTTGAGTCCCTTGTTGCGGGCAGCATTTCTAGGCATTTTTAAGGGAACTGTGACAAACAACCTTGAGCAGATGAATTCAGAGGCTGTCTTCTTCTCTCCAAGACCTCTGTGTTTAATTGTGCCTAAAGAGGCCGGATTTTCTTTATGCCTCCACCTCTTCTCATTCATTTATTTTAAAATACCAAGATAACAAGTTGCATAGGAGTGTGGGATGTGGTTTCTGCCTTTTAGGGAGAGATCAGAATTAAACTAGTACTACAAAATGTCCTTTGGAATGTTAGGTCAAGCAATCTGTGGAGTCCTGCACTTCATGGGTTGTAACTGTCAAACTTGCCTAGGTATTTAGATTGTCAAATCCTATCCTAAACACTTTACAGAGACCAACAGTCTGACACGATTTCTAAGACCGAGGGGGAGTCCATTTACTTCAGCATTTGATTCAATAAATGTTAAGTCAGTAGAAGACTTGGAATAGTTGGAATGCATTATTACGGGACTTCATAGAGACTTTTTTTCTCCAAATGGTGTTACATCTCTGCTGTGTTATCACTGTGGGAATAGATGAGAAGCTGTGGACGTGGCACAGGGCTCTTTCCTGGGGAGGAGAAGGTGGTGAGTTGGGGGATTTCGGGCTGCGCTGGAGGCAGGAGGTAAGAGCTGGTGGCGCTAGAGCCAGTGGTGAGGGTAGAAGCCCACAGACCTGGCACCAGACGACACCGGAGACAGGCAGGGGCTTGAGTCTCGCCTCAGGTGCTGGCAGGGCAGCACAGCCCCGCTGTTTTAAGGAGCAGCGAAGTTTCCCGCTGGAAACCCGGTTAGGAGCACGGACAAACCAGCATTCACCGTTGCCGGTTTCATGTGGCATCATGACTCATTACGGTGCCGATCTCTGAATAGAGGAATTGGTAACGCATGGCCATGGTAGGGCGTGAGACAGCCAGCAATTGGATTTCGCTCCTTCAGGAAGGAGGAATAGTTGTTCCTCGGTTCTTACCACACTTCCTCCCAGTACCTGTTTTGTATGAAGGATTAGTGCAAAAGTGTGAAATCACCCACAGGAGACATTCAGTAGCCACTGATTCTTACATGGAATTTGCAACGATAATGAATGTTAAATGGAGAGAGAGTGGCTCAGTTCACTGAAATCTTACGCAGTTAACTTCTCTAATGAGAAATGAGTTTGTATTTTGTATTAATATTCTGCTTCTGGAGTCAGGTAATAGCACAGATTGAAGATTGTGTTTCCTTGTGAAATTATTTTTTATTAAAACCTGGTAAACGTTTTGTTTACCTTCTCTACTTTAGTTCACATCTCAGCCACAGTAATTGCTTTTTTCTGATTTTTCTTTTAAAAACCTGCTGATGAAAGCCTTTTTTTTTAATACAGATATTAAATCGCTGTAGTAAGAGAATTAGGCTTTGTGAGGGATTGAAAATAGATGTGTTGCATGGTTTTTCTTTTCCTGTTGTGTCCTGGAAGCCTTTGTCTAACACGGACTTTCAGTATACGTGTTGCTGAGGTGCATGAGCAACAGAACAGAAACCGGGCCCAGACAGTGGCCAGGCTGTGCTGAGACCCTGTAGCCGACTGCGCATGCCCATCCAGCACCTCTGTCGAGTCGCCTGCCGTGGGGATTCCAATTTGGGCCAAGTAAAGGTCAACTACATAATTAAAATGGAGACTAAATTTAAAGATTCCTTTCTCTGATGTGACTGGGTGTGGAAAGGGGAAGTTGGACCACACTTGCTCAAAATTATTAGTGGGTTACATAGAAGTGATAGAAATGTAGTGGGGTTAGCTTCCTCCATGTGTGTCTTAGACTTTCTCTTCCTGCGTCTCCATTCTCGCTTTATTTCTTTAAGGAGAAGTCTGTATTTGCTGTCTTTTTAGTTCTTTTAAGTCTAGTGGATTTATTCTGTATGCGATTGCCATCATTGGGGGGCGGATCAGAAACAATCTTGTTGAAGCTCAAAGAATTTTTAGTAGGTTAACAGTGATGAGACATTTGAGATATTTTGAATGCCAAAATGCTTGAGAACTTTGCCAGATTAATACTTAATATCTTTTAGAATGTAGGTTACCCAAGAAGTAGGATGACCAGAAATAGCTTTATTCCTCCTGAGAACACTCGGAGAAAGGAAAACATAGTTTGCTTCAGTGTCATGGTTGGTGTGGAGTCACCGTGGAGCTGGTGTGTCCCACAGGCCTGCGCTCAGCAAAGGTTAAGTTCAAGAGGGAGGAAGTCCTCTCTACCGGGTTCATGGCAGATAGTGTGGGCAGCGGCCACACGCCTTAAGAATTCACCTCTGCTGAGCTGATACTGTCTTGTTTACCGTATTCTTGTGCTTCACCTGTATTACAAAGCGTTGTACTGCCTCTCCTCTTGAAACTGATAAAACCTTCTATAAGCCTCAGTTAATGAGCTTGCACAATCTTGTATATGTACAGGAAACGCCTCCTGTCTTCTAATGTGATGACTAATGTATCATTCTGTAAAGCTGATTAAAAAGGGAGAGCAGTTGAATTCACTGGATTTTATGTTTCCATCATCTATTTTATATGCAGAAGCAGTTCTGAAAGTTTCTTTGACTTCAAATATTACTAATTTCTCCATGAATTCACACTTGTCTTTTTTGCCTGAACGTCTAAGGATATTTGTTAAGTGTGGTCCGGGAAGGAATGAGCATGAACTCACGGTTACTAAGGCGATGGTGAACATTTACTGGTTTCACACAGTTTGTATCTGACTCTTGTATTTGGTAGCTACTCAACAGCCTTAGTTCTGCGAACAGAAGTCCCCATCACGGTATTCACTGAAGCCTTTATTAATCTTTTCAGCTGAGGGGAGGTGCTATCAGACAAGGAGCCCTTGTCACAAGCTCACTCTGCAGGCTTCCCTCACTGGTGGAAAGGTGCTTTCCCTATATTGATTGCACTCATTTAGAAGGAAACGTTAAAAATTTTGATTAGGGCTCCATTTTCATTCAGTCTGTTCAATATTAAAGTCAATGCTATCACTTGCCTAAAGCTGAAAATAGAATCCAACTTTTCTTGCCAACTTGGCATTACCTATGTGCTTGGACTCCTGTTACATTTTACCCACTCAACCCCTGTCTCCCAGTAAGTGGCTCCGTAGCCTTTCCCGAAGGATGCTGAGCTGTGTCACTGTTGAGCTAGGCCTCCCTGTAGTGCTGCCTGTAAGATGTGTCACGATCCTGAGAAGCGAGATCATTTCTCAGAAGCGCTTCTTGGCTATAAATGTGTCCTCTGCCTAGAGATGTAAGGATTCATTAAAGAGCTTTTGCTTCAGTCATTTCATTCCAGAAGAATCCTTTTCCATCTTCTTGGGGTACCAAAATGCAGTACATAGACTTTAAAAAAAAAAAATTGACCAAAGACCAGAAAAATCTCTGGCTGTGGGGATCCTGAAAACATCTTCCACATGTGGGAATAGCTCTCAGTTCCAAGTCATTGAATCTGTTGTAGATGCCGAACATGAAAACCACAGTAGACTTATTTCTGTTAACTAGGAATTCAGCATATTGCTGGCCAAAACCATTAAATTTTATGTTCCTGTGAAAAGAGTATCTGATGTGATTTTTTTAAAGTCATCTCTATGCCCAACGGGCTTGACCTCACGACCCTGGGATCAAGAGTTGCATGCTCCACCGACTGAGCCAGCCAGGCACCCCTTCTGATGTGATTTTTAAAAAGAGGACATTTTCACCTCAGCTTTCCTTGCCCCTCTTAATTTGTAGGTTTGACAGAAATTTTGTAACCAGGGCTGTTGAATCAGATACGTAGCCGCTGATGTTTCTTAGTCATTCCTGGGGAATTCAGTCAGGGGATCTGTCCTGACTCTGACCAGATGAATTATAATCTCCAGGGGTGGGACCCAAAATTGTGCCTTAGGGAGTTCTGTAAACCATTGTTTTCCAAACTTCCCTCTTGAGAATCACCTGGTACTCTTGTTTGTAAATCTGAATTTATTGAGGATGGAACCAGGCATCTTTACATCCTTTACATCCTGGCTCTAGGCTATCTGGGCTAGAGAGTCAGGAAAAGACCAAAGATTAAATTTTAAAAGAAACACAGAAGCCACCTTTCAAAGACCTGTATTACAGGTACTTGATCAGTGTTTGAGACGTGAGTCTGGAAAAGTTGGCAGCTTGGTTCTCGGAAGATCTCTGAATCATCTGCATTTACCAGGGCAAGTGGTCAGGACCCCGTCATGAGACAGGTGGAAGAAAAC